GTGCTGAAGTGTTTGCTGAACAAACAGTGAATCTGCAGTCTGCTTGGTTAGAGCTTTTGTGTTAATCCAGAACACGTGTAGGAGATTTATATTTTAGTTTTTTTTGTTGTTTTTTGTTTGTTTGTTTGTTTCTTTACTCTAAATCTATTTCGCGATATTTCATACTCAAACTATGCGACGCCTTTATATTTACTCAACGCAAAATACCTAATCTTGAGGTGTGTTACTGGCGTCTATTATTAATTAGAGGAAAGAAATAAAAGGACAGTTTTGGTTTAGGACTGTAGATGGCACCATTGGTTAAGGCTGTTAATATAGGACTGAGGAAAAAGCAACGGAGTCGGAAGTCTGTGGTAAAAATGTACATACGGTAACCTTTGGTCTGGGCTTTATAATTGCTGAAATAGCTCTTTTTTTCAGGTGGTATGTTCATGATGTAAATGCAGAATTTACCAGTGGCAGCCTATTGTCAAAGTTACATGATCTAAAGTTACATGATCTTACACGTGGAATGGCTGCTGATTCTTTTTTTTTTTCTGTTTATATTAATTACATGGGGATTTGTGATGCCGTATGATCCACGGGCTTGACGCAGTTTTGATTTCATTCCATCCCACATCACTTCTTATTCCACTTTATCCATCTTGCATTAACAGCTGCTGACGTCTGATGGTGAATGCCTGCTGTTTTGTCCCTCACAGGCATCTGCACGCTAAAGTGAGCAATAACATAAATTGATCATGTTTGCAATTACTATAGTTAATAGCCTATTTAGTTAATCATCTTTTTATGTTATAACATTCCCGTAGTCTGCAGTTGGAGGCTCGTCCTCACCCAAATTTGAAACATGAGCCCCCCCCCCACACACACACAATACTTTCTGTCCAGTCTAAAAATAAAAAAAAAACTACAATATGTGGTATTCCCTCCTCTCTCCTTTCTCCTATTTGCCACCTCCCCGCCTCCACGCCATATACGCCCCTTTCACTGGATATGTAACTTGGATTATCTCATACGACGACCTATATGGAGATATTCATCTTCTGTGCACACTGCCTAGGTCTGTGTCTCACTAGTTAGAGTCCCTGTCCTCTCCCTCCTCCCCACTGCTCATCCTCCAGGTTGTCGGTAGGATGCTCTGAGCAGCACAGCTGAGTGAGCTTTGCGCTGCGCTCGGATACTGCATCCAGAATGAGGCGCCTCCTGCGAGCACCCTGCCTTACCTCGCTGCAACTAAAGAGAGAAAAACAAACGGAATCCGTTTAGTGAGTGGTTCACTGTATCTGTGTTGCTTTGCCCAAAACGCGGTGTAAGTCTGCCTCACAGCTCCAGTGAGGGATTAGGGGGAGCAGAGAAAGAGCACTGCAAACACTGTCCCGGCGTCTGCAAACAGGTGTTTCCATCCTTTAGCTGCGCATTGAGGTTCATTCACGACTATCTGCCTACCCGAAAACCATGTGCGCGGCCATGTAGTTTTGGAGGGGGGGTGGGTGATGCAAAAGCGCTTACAGAGACTGGGGTTGTGCGTGTTGGTTGTGATGCCGAGAAAATGATACAGTTGGAGGAACATGCAACCTGCTGTGGTGAAAGTCTTTGTGAAGCTTCGCGGTGGAACGTGTGGGTTTTATTTTTTAAGTTTCACTTTTTCCTCGGAGATACAAGGGACGATTCCTGAATAACGACCAACTTCATGAAAAAAACAATGATTTATTTGGACATTATCTAGCTGGCTTTACCGCACCACTGGGACTATTTTACTGTCTACTCCTCATAATCCACTTGGCAAATTCTGTTATTTAACGAGTCGTTGTAGTTGCCTCAGATTGTTTCCACTGCGCCTGGACGTTTTCCTTCGGAATCCAGTTTTGTGGATTCAAAGGAGGGGGTGATTATTTTCAGGCTTCTCCGGAAGTTTTTTTCAGAGCTCTGCCAAACTGGCCATGGCTGCAGCGATCGCCAGCTCCCTCATAAGACAGAAAAGGCAGGCGAGGGAGCGGGAGAAGACTAATGCCTGCCGCTGCGTTAGCAGCCCCAGTAAAGCCAAAGGAACCTGTGAAAAACCCAGTCGACTAAACGTTTTCTCCCGGGTCAAACTCTTTGGCTCGAAGAAGAGGCGAAGGAGACGACCAGGTCTGTTGCGCAATTTCCTCAGGCTATTACATCCTCATGAGCACTGACTCTGTATCTGTTGTAGGGTGCCATTATATTGCAGATGTCCCCTAAACAAAATATAGATTGTATACTGAGTACTGCTTCAACCGATTAATGACCAAATTAGTTGGTGGGAGAATGAAGGGGCTGCTTTCTAAAGTTTGTCCACACACCTTTAGCATCTCAGGCTGCTCTGAGGGATGCATTCAAATGATATTTTGTCCTACACCATCTACTCATTCAGTCCACACTGGACAATATATACATGTGCTTATTAAGTCAATTTTGGAAATCACTAGAGACTTCACTGTCACTTATGAGTCATTATTTACTGTTCACATGAAATTGCATAATCTATTCATCACAGGCAATTTAAAATGTCTGTATTCACAGTCTCCCAAAACGGATTAATATTATTAATATTTGGTATCTTTGGGTAAACTATAATTCAAATATAATTTTATAATGAATCTCTAATAAGATACAAGCTGACGCACAGATCTAAATAATAGTTTCTTTAATATAGACTTTTAAGCAGACCTCAAAAATTATATTTCCCCATATGTTGGCAAAGTTCTGTGTTGCTGAAATGTATCCAACTAAAAAAAATAATTGGCAGATAAGAAGAAATAAGGGTGCTTGATTCTCAGAACTCAAAATAAAATTATAAGTATTGTACGTACACACTTGTACACTTAAGTAAGTAATAAGTATGTACACTAAGTATTAGTACTTATTATAATAGTATTATTAGTGTTCATAAGTGTTAAGTGTATCCCTGGACATGTGAGCCAAGGTCCAGGGTGGCTCTCAGAGCACTTATGATTGCAGTGACAGAAGTGCGTCTCTATAGCCTAAAGCACCCACTTTCTTACAAATCCAGTGCTAAGGGGACCACAGCTGCATATCTGATCTGATCACATAATACTCGCGCCCAAAGCTCACCTTTTGTCAGTTGTATGTCTTGTTACTTGATGTGTGTGGACATGATGACTGCACAGTCTTACAAGAGTCAGCTCTGTGATTTCTCACAAGCATTATTTAATTTCATCCACTTCATTCATTCCCAAGCAGTTTTATAACTCTGTACATGATGCACCTGGAGGTTATGGTGCATGTTTATGCAACAACTATCCTACAGTTTTTGCACCCCTCTCACTTCCAATTTCCATTTCTATCCTGTGGAGGAAGCAATGAGTGCCAAGGAGAAGGCGTCATCTGTGTGTGACTTACACATGGTGCCTCACCAAAAACAACGAACTGGCATCTTTTGGAAATACAGAGTGGACTGTATGTGAATGTAGTGTGCACATGGACTCTTCTGTGTTTACAGCACATGCTGATGTGTACATTTCTAAATGTATGTCCATACGTGAAAGTCATCCAAATGTAGATCCGATTTCAGGCTACACTTCGGTCTCATAACTTGATAATGAAATGCACAAAGTTTTACAACAAAGTCCATACAATATTTGCGGTGTACACACAGAATAAACCTTCTCTGCAACAAAAGTAACCTTAGCAGGGCTAGATATGGCAGTACTGAAAGGTAAGAGATGAAAGGATAGATAAAAGGTGTGGTAAACCACAGTAAAGGACACTCCACTAGGGACAGTAACCAGGGAAAGGAAAAGCACTTAGCTCTTATCAGACATTACCCCAATGTACCACAGACAGGCTACCCAGCCACTTCAAAAGTAAATGCTCTGCCCCTTAAAACTATTGTCTTTTAGACTTAAGACTGTTTTATATGTTGCCACTCCTGATAGTGGCCATTTTATAAGTAAAACTATCACTATTTTCATTACTTTATATTCCATTTTGTTTTACATCTTCTACCAGATATTTGAACAATACAGCTCCTTCTTCAATTTATCATAAAATGTCACAAGTACTATCATTTGCATGTACTGTAAAATTCAATGTCATTTAATTTGAATTTCTGAAATTCAAAGTATGTACTAAATATCACAGATTTTATTGAAATTTAGATTTTTCTTATTTAGACTGTACATATCCCCAACAATTAATGTTGTGGTTTTCTAGGAACCAGATTATTTTTCTAACACTCTACTGGACAGTTCTCATGCAGTAGAGAACGACGGGAAGATGCAAGAAATTTCCTCAGCCATCTTAGAGCACTGAGCCACCACACGCCCCCTAAAGCCATTTTTAAATTTGATATTATTTGCTTTTGTCCTTCTGTGGTCTTATTTCTCTGTTGTCAGGCCATAGGGCCTGTATCTTTTAGCCATCTCAATATTGAGAAAAGACAAGCAGCATTGATCAAACTGCACTCCTTATCATTTTGCCATTTAAATATTTTTAAATACAATATAATACAATTTACAATAAAAGTGAAATGGCCCTTGTAAAGTATATACAAATCAGTTTGAATCTGCATATAGGATATCAGCAAGCCATTGGCCTTCATCAGTCCTCTCATTTCATGTATTGGCAACCACCATGACTGAGTGGTCAAAGTTCGTTAAACTACAGCTCCACTGAAAAACTCTCATTCTTTTCCACAAGGCCAGATGTCTCAATAGTTTAATTTGCATCCCCCCACATGTTTTTTGTTGGTTTTGAACTTGTTTACTTCACAGGTGTCTCAGCCTATCACAGTCAGACTCCTTTTTATCCTACCTCGCTCCACTCAGCCTCACAACCTTTTGACTAAATTGGATTTTGTGGCTCCAGTTACTTCCAATATCGCAGCGAGAAGGCAACTGAAACGGAAGCTTCAAAACGTCCCTTAAGTGTCATCTCGTTGCTACATTCATGTTTTTCTACAGTCTGTGGTTTCATTCTCGCGTCTTCCTCTCTCTCTGTCCCCTCTGCTTCCACAGAGCCCCAGCTGAAGGGGATTGTGACGAAGCTGTACAGTCGACAAGGTTTCCACCTGCAGCTGCAGGCAGATGGAACCATTGATGGAACGAAGGAGGAGGAAAATGGTTACAGTAAGTTTAACTAACTAATATTATGTTCCGCTCATTTATCATACATCCACTGCTGTGCTGTACAGTGGATCAGTTCCACATACTACAGACAGGATCCAGCATCCAAACTGTTCAAAATTCTGCTTGTTTTTATTTTCACTTCTGTGGATAAACAGTATTGGATCACTGCATAGAGAAAAACTGAAGTCAAATTTTATCTAATTAATGTTGTCCTATGGTAGCCTGAACACAGATAATTGGCTTTTTACTCCCCTACACACTGCCTCTCTGGTGAGAGCCTGTACTATGTTTTCTCATACTATGTATTGATGCATCCCTATCATTGCCATTACACCCACCAGCTCTTTGTTTTCCAATAGACAGATTAAAGAGGAGATCAATGGAAGAGTAACAGCACAGCCACTTGTCTGGTAACAATACAGCAGAAATAGACCACCTTATAATTAGACTGTGCAGTGAACACTACAGTACATGCTGAAAAAGATTACAGCAGTACAGCTGTTAGTGACCTATGTGAAATACACATTACCCCCATACCAAAACAATATAGTTCAGGAAAAGATCTGTGTGGCACACTGAAACAGCTTTGATGTAATACTTGCTGTGTAATCCAGACACTAAGCGGATGTAAACACTTCTGGAGCCTCTGAATTAGTACCTCTGTATTCAATTACTCCCTTGGTGGAGCTGGTGTTTGTATCTTACATATAAATAGTAGCTCTGTGCAAGTGGGATGTTGTCTAAGCAGAACACCCTTTCTAAATAACAGATAGCAAAATTAAATACAACACAGAGCAAACTACATGCAAGAGTAGAAATAAATATGATGAAATAACAGCTTACACACACACACACACACACACACAATACTTCACTTCACACTCCGACCACCCCACCCATCACCCATCATGTCTACATGGACTCACTTTTCTGTTGACTTACATAACAACTGGCCCGCATTGGCACCAAAATAGTTTTTGAAGAGAAAATTAAAGAGTGCTGCTGAATAGGAAAAGGAGAAAGAGTGAAGCTCTTTGCACTGCTCCAAAAATAGCATTGTTAGGCGCTGGGTGCGCTTGTCTCCATGGTGACGGAGAGCGCAGTCCTCTTGGAGTTACTGGTGTCTTGTGATGGTGGGAGAGGACCTACTCAAATGAACATATACACACAAAAACAAGGATTTGATCTTTTCTACTGTAGTTGGCTTAGTCTTGGCCTTTTAGCTGCGGTAATTAAGAAGTTTAATATTTCTGTGACATTTTTATTAAGAATGTAAACAATGTCAGAAATATCAAATCCAAGTCTCATAAGTCCCAGTGATTTGTCTCCCATTTTATACAGTGTCAACCATTTTTTTGTGTTGCGCCACAACAGAGCAAACCCCCTGGGTATCCAGAGGGTAAAAAAAAAAGACGTGTTCAAAATGCAGTTCATTCTCAGTCTTGTCCTAGATATAGTTTTTTATAAATAGACTTTATAAATAGACTCAAAAGTTTTTTACATTTGTCTAATGTATTGTCAGCAAGATTGGAGATACCGTTGATCACAGAATTAGGAAGAGAAATCGCATGTCTGCTGGCATGTAATTCACATCAGATACTTACCAATTTAATTGCTACAGACTGTTTACAAATTCACAGTTTAATGACAGGAGGAGACAACCTTGGAAACTTGAACAAAGAATGTTTATGTCCTTGTGTTCTTACTTAACTAAAGAGAAATTTAAGAGTCATGTCTTGTTCAGTGGTCACGTCTCTCACTAATTAACAACTAATGTCCATTTTGAGCTTCCTCATGATACAGTAGTCTATAAAAAGTGGCATCCTTCATGCAATCACACACAATCACAAATGCAATCAAATCAAATTTAATGTGTAAATTAATAAAAGTCTTATATAATTTACCTAATTCAGCCTTACATTTTTCTTAAAGTAACCCAATATACTTATATATATATAGCCACTGCAGTTGCACAGTAATCAGACCACAGAAGTGCTGTGTAATGTTGTCACAACAGCTTACTTTTCTAGCTCCAATACTATGCCCCTTTATGCTGGTTTAATTGCAGGCATGCTGTTCCCAGAATGAATAACAGAAAGGATAAAAATGTTTAAAATGTGACTAGCAATTGCTAGGAACCTTCAGGTTTATTGTCACACTGAATTGGTCATGACTCCTAGGCTGTTAGTGAGTGGAAGACACGGAGACAGCCTGCAAGCAATCGTGAAAACTGTCCCTCAGGCCTCCTCACCCTTCTCCATCCATGCCTCTCTGCACTAGGAAAGGTCTATGTGTGGGTGGCAGCCCTGTCATCCTCTTCAGTGTGCTCAGGTGTTTCTAGGAGCCAGGAAGTAATTGAGTTTCCCCTCTTGAAAATCTCCCATCAGTGCACAGGCTGGTAATCCTTCTGAAATGAAGTGGACTGCAGATCTGTTAGTGTGCACCAAATGGTGGGAGTATGAAGGGAGAAAACTGTGACGCAGAGCGAGAGAGGTGCAATTATAAAGACATAAACCGCTCACGTGGCAAGATGTTTCAGGAATGGAAGAAATTAAATCATCAAATCTAAAACTGTGCTACATATAACAAAAACAAGATGCAAAATGTTTCTACACAGATACGACATTGACACTTGACATAGCAGTGAGGAGAGATGTCTTATGAATTACAATACCTCACATCCCCCTCTAGCTCCATATACAAACAAACCAAGGTGGATCAATCTGAACAATGGTTGTGGAGAAAGATTATTGCCATCTCTAACCTGTAATGAGCCGCTGCACTGCAGTATTGAAGAATGCCCCAAACATTTTTTTGTTAAAATCATGGGGGTAGTCTTTGTTTGTGATGATAACCTGCTTTCTGTTGGTCTCCAGAGTCTGTGATTTGAGACCCTCCAATCAAATCATTCTTACTAAATGTTGGAAGTTATTATGTACATACACTGAGTATAGTTTATGTTAAAGTTGAGAGAGAGTGTTGTTATTAGTGCATCTCAGATGTGACCCATAATTGCACATTTTATTGTTTGGTGGATAGTCAAAAAATACAAATTTGGCAAGCAGATGTAGCATTGGTTTAACAGCTTAATAAATGCACACGCTTACTGTACAGTACCCATAAAATATTGCAGATATTGAGGTTATAAATAGTTAGTCCTATCGGTTTAAAAAAAACATTTTACTGGAAGCATCTGCTGTACAGTACATAGCTGCCAAAGCAGGCATCACCAAAGATACAACAATCTGTCATTTTGAAAGCTTCAAGACTGAGAGTGGTGTGTCCTCCCCTAGGGAGCCATCTCCTGATTGCTGTACCATTATAGGACTGTTGCTAACTATGTTTTTGAAAAGTGGTGCAATTGTAGCATGAACTGAAGTTAGTAAACAAAGTAACTCAACCATACTGTATCTGAGAATATAACTAAAATGTAAGGTGCACTGAGGACCCTCCACCATGCAAAAAACAGTATCAGTTAGGGGAAGTCTGTTTCAGGAAAAATGGATGGGGAATTTGGATCATATAAAAACAATATAATATAATAACAAAGTCACCATCCAATGTAGCCTCCGTTCAGACAGATAGATAAATCCTGACATTCTTTTGTTGTTATTGATATATTATATTATCAAGAAACAGAGGTAAATATAGAGAGACAGATAGAGAATGAGAGGCATAGAAAGAGGGAAGGACCACAGAGTGAGTGGTTCTTGGACTTAAACGACTTTCCACTGAACCAAGAATACGCTAGCAATGCCCGTTTTCTCTACCAAGTAAATACATTATGCATTCCTATGGCTGTTGTTTACAATGAAAGCCCAGAGAGAAGCAGGTTTGCAGTGTTAAAGTGATAAGGGCAGATGAAACAGCCCATCAAAAAGCCTCTATAGTGCACTCAAAGGAGTCTGCAGATTGAGATCTACTAAGTGGTTGACAAGGGGGCTATAGTAAGGGCATACTCTGACTCACAGCTTAACTGATGTGAGAATTAAGTTAAATTTCTCCTCTCACATGTGTCTAAAGCAGGGGTCAGCAACCTTTACTATCAAAAGAGCCGTTTTTGGCCAAAAAAAGAAAATCTGTATGGAGCAGCAAAACATATTAGCTTTATAATGCTTCTTTGTCGCTGGAGCTCAAGCATATCAGTAAGCCAGCAGCGTTGGTAGTGAAAGCAAACAAATCTATCCACGCACTATTCAATTCTCTATTTTCCTCTGAGATGTTCCTTTTTTTGGATTTAGAATCCATAGGTAGCCTAGCTAGGAAGACTCAAGACTAGTAGCCACCACTACTGATGTTCGACTAAATATAGAGGAAAGGTCAGGTTAGGATGTCACGTATGATACACATTTTAGTTACTGAGATGTTTTTATCTGGTGTGTAATGGCGACACATTTGTGCAATTGGAGAATGTGAAATGAAAATGTTAAAAAATAATTTAATTTCCATTTTTTGGGATGGAAGCACGACTACAGACTTTCAGGTGGATGTTTATGTGCTCTCCTCTATTCAGCCCGTGGGTTCCCTGCCAGCATCTTATGAAACACATGCAGACACACTCGTATACAGTACAGGGCGACATTAATTAGGTAGAGGTGTACCTCATTGACCAGCTGGGCTGCTGCTGGCTCTCTCAGCCTCACGACTCAGCCCGCTGGTCACAGACAGGTTTATACAGTATGTGTGTGTGTTTGAGTATGAGCATAAAGTCTATGGACAGAGGTGTACAAGTGTTTTCTCTTCCTGCACTTATATGTAACGATGGGCATGACAAAGAAAAGCACTATTGTCACATAACAGCAGCAGTCATTATCAGAGATTTGTGTTTGACAGCATGATTTGTTTGAATATTTTATTTCGTTCCATCTGAAAGAAATGTACATATTGTGTTTGCAATACTTAGGCTTAACTTTGCACAGCCTATGATTTCCGTTCCTGGGTGTGTCAACAATTTCTCTGTTTCGGTCGCGTGCTTTATGAAACACCCTTGGGAGAGGGTGACTGAGTCCCTGGGATTTGTGCTTTGGTTTTGACAACTCACTCTTCCATCCAGATCTAGTGAGGGAACACGAATAACACCTTTTTTAACGCATGAATGATGAATGCTACATGGGTCACCTGGTCACTATGCTTTTGGCTTGCTTTAAAATTTATCTCAGTAACATTCGTCCACTTTCTGGCTTGCACTGTGACAGTGGAACAGTGACTTAAGTGGCAGTGTTAATTTTGCCTCATTTATTTATCTACTATATTAGCACAAGCTGCCCTGCCCTGAGCACCGAAATGTTTCTCAACTGCTATACATCTCAATTATCATTATCAGAATTTTTGGTAAATGCATAATACTATTAATTGGCTTTTTCATATATATAATACATGCATTACATGGGCATAGAAGTATACATTTTTTTTATGCTTTGTTTCTGCTGTCTGTCTCCTTCCAGCCATGTTCAACCTTATTCCAGTGGGGCTGCGAGTGGTGGCCATCCAGGGGGTGCAGACCAAACTCTATCTGGCTATGAACAGTGAGGGCTACCTGTACACATCAGTAAGTGTCTCACTTAATGTATGTGTGAGTGTTTGTGTGCATGTGTGTTGTATATCCTAGTGGCTGACCTTCTGGTCCAGCTGTATCCACAGAGAATGTTAGATCTCTGGCAGACATCTGAGTTACTATGGTGACATGAGCGATTGTAAGAAATACAAAAATAACAAAAACGTGTGAGAGAGAAGATAGATGCTTTTAAAGGAATAGCAGTTATTTTACATTTAAGTGTGTTTCAGCAGATGTTTTTTTTCTTTCCTTTCTATTTTTTGCAGGAAATGGGTAACGCACTTTCACAGTGCCCATGAAAGAATAACATTTCTGATATCATTCAGTGTCAATAAAAAGTTTAAGGATTGTGTAAGCAGGCGGAGCAGTGACATATCCGATCTCGGCAGCTGGCTCTTCATCTTTGATTAAATGTGCAATGTTATGAATAATTCAGTTGCACGCTGAACAATGTCCCTGTTAGTCTTCCTCCCAAATGCCACCGTCTCATTGTGCAGCAGGCGTCACTTAGAAGACTGACAGGCTGGTTGGATGTGCACCCAAAGGGTGTGCAGACACACGCATTTACTGTTAACAGAATCCTCAGTCAAATTAGTAAAGATTGTTCTGTATGGTAAAGGTCTCAGTAGGCAGACACAATGGTGATTGATAGAAACAAGCTCAGAAAGGGAAAATCTAATGATCTTGTAGCTTTTTATTCTGTAGCTACCACTGACAAATTATCTATTACATACTTAGGCAGTAATGTGATGAAGGAAGAAGGAAAGCTGGCCTTTACCCTGATTTCACTCTCTCATGGACACAAGCACACAAATGCATTAATGAACTGGGTTAATTTGATGGCTCTCACCAATCATTAGTTCAGTCAGAGAGAGACACTGCAAATGATTATACCTTGAGATCTGGTGAAAGAGGCTCTGCTCTTTGAGTAAGCTCTCAAGAAATCCAACAAGGACACTGCTGAAAGGATCAATCCCTGAATAACCACATATGACCATTAGATCTTAGCAAAGACACACACTAACAAGGAGATTTAGGTGCTGATGATAGCTACTGCAGCAAGCAGCATTATACAAATATCAGCAAAATAACAGTGAAAACTGCCAGGATTTACATCTGTATAAATCTGAATGGATGATAGCAGAAAAGATGGGAGCCAATTAGCTAAGGTATGCGCCACTATGTGCTGATAATAATGCTGTCCATTGAAATGCAGTGTTTTTACCAAATCTATTTTAATCTAAGTTAGCAGTTACAGTATTTTAGAAACAAGAATCTCAGTGTAGTGTAAGACCAGAAGAATGACAACATAATCACTGTAGAGAGTGTGGCGAGTGATTGTGTGGCCCACCTATAATTACATTTTAATGAGCGCTAGCATTTGTTTGGCGACATATCCATGGGGGTTGCCCCAGCTAAGCATGCCTGAGGGGAATATACAAGAATAATTGAAATAAAACATACTCCTTAAACCCCTTCCTACAACACACACACATTCATGCGCTGTATTTAGCAGTCTAATAATAATAATATGAGCTTGACTGTCAGTAATTAAGCATATGCAGCAAGCTGTAGGATTAATTTAATAAAGATGGATCCTGCTGGAAAACACTCTACAAACAGAGAGTGGCAGCAAAGGATCTATTATTTCTAAACTTCCTTTTATTGGTAAAGTTTTTGGAAAATGTTGATGCCAAGAAGTTACTTTAGATGAGCATAATATTCTTTTAGTTTTTCTTTCAGCTTTTAAATTCATAATACACAGTCATGCTTGATAATAACCTATTTTTGGTACTGCTGGACCTCACACAGTGTTATCTCTGGGCAAACTAGGTGCTTCTTGTTCTCTCAGTTTTTTCATTTTCCTTTATATGTATATTATAATATAAATTTGAAGCATCTGACATCTGTTCTGAAATATTCTATATATAATACAGTGTAGATAAACTTCATTACTATTTAAGACAGATCTGCCTAAAATAAAATTGTATATTACAGTAGGCAGAATCAGAATCTGAACCACAAAAAAATAATTGTATAACAATACTAGCTTCTTCTTCTGGCAAGCACAGAATTGATTGCAGCTTATTCTGTTTTGTGTTGTAATGTATAAATGTGTTAAAGGTATGTAAAATGGTGCAGAGCATAAAGGCTACAGTCCAAAAGGAATACTGCTGGCTGCGTAGCGTATATCCTCTATGCTGTTTTTAATACCAGCCCTAATGTGAAATACATCTTGTAGGTGTGTTAAATTAGAAAAGATAGTTGGGGGATGGGATGTAGAGCTTTCTGTTTCAGCTTAATTAGAGAGGGAATTGAATTGAATGTGTAGCTGACTGCCTAATAGTGCCTGTCTTCCTGGGATTGCTGCTATGGCAAAGTGCTGCCTTAAAGCCAAACATTAAACCAGCCAATAGCAGGTCAGCATTGGAGGGAGATTCCCAATCAACAGTGGAGAGACAACAGATGACGTATTCTGGCTGAGGGGATAAAGTGCTGCTGCTGGGATCAGGATACCTCCTATTATTGTACATGTGTGAGCATAAGTGCATGTATGAAGGAAAATGTGACTGCATAGTGAGTGAATGCAATATCCTAAATAGGATGCTTTACATGAATAGTGAATTTACATGTTTGACACAATTCTAATTCTAATGCTTACTAAATTATAAATTGGTATGCATGTTGAGATTTAATCTGATGTGTTTCCTTTGATATCATTAATTTGAGTGGCTTTTAGAGCGTATAGTTATGTCACATATGCATATGGTGTATGTGCATCTGTCTGTATATGTGTGTTCTATAAGAGCATACACTGAGAAAGAGAGAGAATGAGAGAGAGAGAGAGAAATGAGTAGTGAGAAAAGGAGTGGACATGTGTGGGTGAGGCAGAATGCACCAGTGAAAATATATTCAGCATCAATGTGTGGGAGAGGAAGAACCAATTAATATGTATTTTACTTTACTATCCTCTCTTTCCCTGTTTGCCCTTTTAGCAAAAGTATCGGAGCAAGTTTGGCATCAGAACTGCAGAAGTATTTTACAGAAGGAAAAAGTGTTTTCAACATAATATACAATAATCAAAAACATACTGTTCCCAACCAATACCCCTCTTATATCTGTAACAATGCAGAAGATACTTCCACTGAATCTTTCTTGATATGTTTACAGATGTGTGGGTATATTTTTTAGAACCTGGGCTAAGTGGTGTCTAAATATCTCACAAGGTGCCTTGTAGTGGTGTTATCAATATCCTGGTGGGTCATATTTGAATTAGTGTGAGTTACTGAGGCTCCAGTTGAGCTTTGTCTAAACTGCTGTGTGTGTGTGTGTGTGTGTGTGTGTGTGTGTGTGTGTGTGTAAAATGGTGAGTTCAGGGCTCTTGGGGTGGAGATATTCAGACTAGCAATGAGGTATATAAGCTCTTTTAACCCACATCACTGGGTCAGTTAAATCCCTGCGACGGTCATACATCAGAGTTCCCGCATAAGACATGAAACTCATCATATGCTTACTCGTTCATAAAGGCACTGTGGATATGCGTTAAGTTCCAGCTAAACATCTGAAAGGACAGGTAATATTAATAATGCACAAGATAAGATAAGAATAATGATGATCCTTATTATCGTTGATGATAATGATGAGGTTAAAAAGAAAAAAAAGCTGCTACACCTATGTGAAAGTATTTTTGGGTATAAATTTAATGTGACCTTTATAAGGGATGCAGAGGTTGTATAACAGCACATTATATTCTAAAACAATAAAACCATATTTGTATGTATGCAGGATAAACATAATTAAAAACAAACAGAAAATGGCAAAGAAGTCTGAATATCGTTGTGCTTGTACATTATGTATTTGTATTATAATACACTCCTGTTAGATATGTAGTTGGCTCACACCCATGTCCTTTCAACCATTTAGCAAGCACAATGCCTTTGGTAAATAACCACTGCTGTAAGGTTTCACTCCATTGAGCTGTGTCATTAACTAGTTTCTGTTGTGTGTGTATGTGCTACTGGCTTGAATGTGTACCCTGTGTGGGTGTGTCTATTTGTGTTTCGTATTTGCAAGGGTCTTTTCCACTAGCTTAAAGCTCTCCAATTTATTCCCAAACAATGAACACTATGAGTGTACTTTATCTTTAGCTAAAGAAAAAGGTGCTTTTTAATCCACTTCCACTCAACTGAAAAGACTGGGACATTGAAAAGCTGGATTTAGGAAGATTTATCTTCACTGCCCGGCCATAGCATTAGCTTTTGTGAGTCTCACAAGCATTGATGTGGCTGCAAAGAAACTAGAACAGCACTCAGCCCTGATTTCATTGGCATAATTGGTGTCATCTTAGTTTCGATATGGCAGCTGAGTACACATGGGGCAGTGCGCAGCATTGATTTGGCTTGTCTTGTGAAAAATCTGGCCAATATCTTTAGAGAGGAGATTAAGCTAGTATTTCTCCTCCTGCTCATTGGATCAGGAAAAAAACACTATTGGGCTTTAATTACTCCCCTGAAGCCAACAGAATTCAGTTCGAGAGCACATCATAACTCGTGTCTTCTTGACATGACCGCTTTGCTAATGGAATATTCATTTCACAGTTACCCTTGCCATTGCTGAATTATGTAATTGTATAGTACAAGAGGTTTCCCAGATGGGCAGTGTGTGCCTGTGCATGTGCGTCCATGTGTTTTATGTTCTTGAACAGTACAAATTGGCAGGGAAACATCCTTCAGTATGTTATACTCAACAGTTGCATCAGTACCATGTTACTGTTGCTGTTAACATGTTGTTAGCCGTCCACTGTCAATCCCATGATGCTTCGGGTTGAGTCTGTCAACCAACTAGAGGCAAGGTAGGGCGGGTCTTTGCGTGCGGGACAGCTCTGATCTCAAACGCATCGCGCAATGGCATGAGACTGACCCTACAAACAATTTGCCGATGATGATGGTAATGAGTGATTGATCACATGACGCTGCAGTTTTGTGGCTATGCGGTTATTGTGACAGCCCTAGTTGTGATTCAGATAAGATAAATCCAGATGTTCTGTTAATCTGTCATATTTTTGTGGAGTTTTGAAGATCTTTAAAGTAATGAATCATAAAATTAAGTATGGATGCGGTCTTTTTGAAACACAATTAAAACAAGTCCTAGAATTACTGGCCCAGCATCTGGGTGAAAAAAAGCCCTATTCATACACACACGTAAGACACCCTGCATATGTATACCAACAAACCCTAACATTGATCTGAAATAATGTTTAGAAGTAGGTGAAACTACCTATCACTGTTGGTTAAAAAAATAAACTGGTATAGCATATGAATAAAAGACAGTAAAGCTTTCATTCTTCTGTCCTCTTGTTCACTTTCTTTCTCCCATAATAGGCAGGTCTAA